AAGCGCGGATTGAAGTTCTCTCACGCTTTCTTTCAAACACATGACGGTATCCCTTGTGTTGCTGCAGATATCTATGAATCTCACTGATCTTTCCAGCAATTCCTTCACAAAGTTGTCATCTTGATGCTGGAGAAGCGCCCTCTGAGTCATTGGCAGCGCAAGTAGTTCCTCTACACACTCGTATAATTCTACAAGGCCGCTTGACAGAGCATTTTGGGTTTTTTCTTCTGCTTTTGGAGATAAAGGAGAAGATGATTCCCAAGTTTTGATTTTGTTCAAAACTTGCTCAATCTTGATTGTGCTGGGGTGTGATCTAGCAGGAAAACTAACACAACGGGTACGATACGAGCTATGAGAATGAGACCTTGGGGAAAGAGCAGCCATTGTTCGAATTGTTGAAAGGTTCATTTTTTTTTTCTTTTCTCAAAACAGGTTATGTTCATGAATCATTCTTTAAGCTGGTTGTTTATATATGCAAAATATCATGGAAGGAGACAAAAGTTGGGAGAAAAGAATAGTTAGTTAATTTGGAATAATGTGTCAATGTGATGTACATGTGAAGAAAGTGTGGGTTTTTTAATTTCTTTGTTATGGTTCTGTCAGAGGCCTCAACCAACAAACAGGAGTACAACTTTCATACTTTACATCAACTATAGTATAATGATAGGGATAGAGGCATATCTCTCTTTTATTTAAAGGATTTATTTGGTACAAGCTTAGATTTTTTAAGCTTAAGGATGTGTTGGGTACGAAGAAAAATGTTCTAAAAAAGAAAAACCAAAAAATAAGTGTTCTTTTATTATTTTCTGATGTTTGGTTAGTAAAAACAAAATATTAGCCAGAAACCTTTAAGTATGATCTAGACAAATACTATGACACCAAATTCAAATCTCACTCTTTAACACGGGCCAAGACCCTTGTCCCAATAACGACCCTAGACTTGATACTGACCCAAGACACAACCCTGACCCCAACTTTGACTTAGAACTTGATCCTCTCGACTAGACCCTGACTAACCCTAACTTAGGCCCGACAACTAACCCCTAGCAACTACTCGTGACCCGATGCTGACTCATGACCTAATCTCGACCCTAATCCTTGGCCTCATCCTAGGACTCAAGATTTGACTCTTGACACTGACTAGACTTCTACCTTGATGTTGATCCAAGACCTAATATACCCTTGACTTCGACCTAAGACTTTACCAAACTCCGACCCCGACCCTAGGCCCAACTCCCAACTCCAGCTCGAGGCCTGATCCTTACCTCGATGGGGAGTCGGGATTAGACTCGGGGTTCACCCTACTCCCGACCCATAATTTGGGACCGGACTCTTGATCGGATCCGGTAAAAATCATTAAAATTTATTACTGTAATCTTATTTGTTTTTTTTTTTTTTTTCTTCATAATTCTATATGTCAAGGCTCCAACCAACAAACGGGAAAACAACTTTCATACTTACATCAACTATAGTATAATGATAATTGATAGGGATAGTGGCATATCTCTCTTTAATTTTTTATTTATTTAAAGGATTTATGTAGTACAAACTTAAATTTTTTAAGCTTAATTTATTACTTTTCTCAAGCATCTAGGCCACCGCCAGCTCGGGCTTAACAAAGGTTCATTCATCCAGAAAAGTCGGTTGGCATAGAGAAAAATGGGGGTGGGCTCCCAAATATTGTCTTGATTGGAGGTACTTTGGATTGGACATTAAATTAAAGCATAAATGTACAACCAAAGATTGAATTTGAGTTCATAGAGTGAGATCTACTGCTACATATGGTGGTTAGCTCTGGTTTATTGAGACAACTCATCAAGTTATAAGGTGGGTACTACATCGTTGTGCTCGTATGAGTGGCATGTTCTCTCACTGTTCCCAGGTCCACGCACTTACCCAAATAATGTTAATACTCCCAATTTATATGATTATGTTTGATTGAAAAAAATAATATCACATAAATGAAAACAAAAGAGAAAATACTCTTTTTATTTTAATTTATTTTTTTGGTTTTAATTTGGTTTAAGAAAGTAAAATGTTTTTTTTTTGAATTTTATGATCTTAAAAATTAAAGATAAAATATAATGTATCAAATTGAGTTTTAATTTTGTAATTTTAAAGATATAATGTGGAAAATTATAATTGAAGAATTGTAAGATAAAATAAAAACACTTATTTTTAAGCGGACTAAAAAGAAAAGTATACATGAAATAAAGGAGTACCATTTATAGTGCTTCATTGCATTGACTTTGATTTTGTATGGACAAATTCGTGTAAGGACGTACATATTCTTTTAGTCTCCAAAATGTAACCTAAAAAGTTACATGAGAACTATCATAGTTCATTAAACAATGATTCCAAGAGTGGCAAAAATTTTAAGAGCTAGAGACCGATCTACATCAACATGAAAACTATCATAATTAATCATGGAAATAGTATATTTGGATGTACATCATGTGGGGTGAATAGAAGTTTCGAGGATCATAATTCATAACTAAATAGAAAATATATAAAAATAAGCATATAATGAAATTTTAGGAGGTGGTGGCCACTCACTACACTTAGCTATGGCTAGCTAGTAGTTGGGTTTGGACACATTCATTAAATGTTGAATGAGAGGGCACTTGTCACAAACAATGAATTTGTGTATGGCTGTTTGGTAGTCCCTTCCTTAACTCCTCCATACCGTGTTGTTTTGGGCTACCTATCCACATCTCAATAATTTAGGAAGAAGCAGTAATGCACTTCAATTGGTAGGGTTATTTATTTTAATTTCTTGCATTACTAACCATGACTAGTAAATGCATAGTTCATAACAATATACTGATAGTTGAAAAAATATTTACGTTGCCAATTTGTCTAAAAGTTAAATAATTTTCAATGTAAAAATATTTAAATATAGATAAAGCAAGATACCATTTGCTTGCATTGAAATCCCAAATCTAGCAGAGAAAAATTAGAAATGTTTGCTTTGATGGCAAGAAAAGTTTTGAATAGAGGTAAATATAAAACACCTGGTGCAATGTTCAAGTGTATATTTTTGGTTCATTTTCCTCATATCTAGGAAATAGGGGATGAATATACTTTTTAAACATATTATATTTTCAGTGTACCATATCTGAGTGGTTATAATTTATTGTATCTGAAGATCCTCACAAAGTCCCATTTAGATTTCCCTCTAATTACTCTTTATCCAAGAGCTAATTATGCATATGTACTTAATTATCATTCAACAAGTGTCCCCGAATCTTTACTTTGGTAGCTCAAAAGGTAGTACTATTATACTTCAGTATTCATCACGGAATGACACGTTATATTACCTTGTTGCATGCATCTGAATATGCTATATTTTCTTTTAACTTTTGTTTGTTTAAAATTATTATGTGCAAATAGCAAGGATATGGTCCTATCTAGAAGCTCATACACTATGATTATTCTTTTGCAAAAAGTGGAAACTTTTGTTTGATGCATCCAAAAAAAAAAAGTTCAAAACTATTCTTATTGGCCTGGATATTATATAATACTAGCAATTAAGGATATGCTCCTATATATCTAGAAGATTCGGCATACACTATGATTAGTTCTTTTGCACAAATGTGAAAATTAACTTTAGATTGATGTATCCAAAAGTGTTACATTATTTATGAGTGACTAATGAGTCATCGGAAGAAAAGTGTTATTGGTCTCCTACTTTTAAAGTGTCTCTTCAACACTCAGATTTGGCACATCATGAGGGTGAGATATACATACGTTTTGTTCTTCTTTAACATGGAAAATAAACCAATCAAAAAAGCAGAATACATAGTTTAACTTCCTAATTTACCGTTAAATTCAGGTGACACACACCTCTCTAGTAAAAGTAATTAATCTTTTTTCATACATAACCTTTTTAGAGTAAATGAAAAAGCAATTCTTCATCAATTTATGTTTCAGATCTGATCACACACCATTTTAGTCCAACCACTTCTTCTTAATCCAAAGAAGGGGAAAAAGAACCCTCGCCCACCCTAACGGCTCATCCTCTCCAACCTAATCGTACCCGAGAATCGAAATGAGATAAATAAAAGTATTTTGAATAGTTAAAAGTCTATTAATATATTTCACACTAAATAAAAAGGATGATTTTGATTCAAATCTCAAATTTAAAGGGCTAATTTGACCGATGCAATGAGTGAATTATTTTTTTTTTTAAAAACTGATATGTTTTTTATTTCTCCAATGTATAATTTCAATTTTGTTCTTTAATTTTCTATTGTATATATAGTACTTATATATTTTCTTGTCTCATATTTTAAAATAAGTTTCAAATACAACTATTTGAAGTATGCATTTGAAAATTTAAGAAGTCCAATGCTTATACTTAAGCAATTTAAAAGCTCCAAATAACAATTAAAAGTGGTGTTCTCTTCAGGCTTTCAGAGCCACTTAGATCTAGCCTTCGTAGAGACAGATATTGCTGTTATTCAAAACACAGAAAAAATGATGAAAAATGAGTAAAGTAGTAAACAACATTTTTAAGATTATAACTCTGTGAAATTAGAAATTGTTTATTTTACTTCATATGGAAATTACATGCTCTGGCACTAGATAAAAATGTTACTCCCTCCGTCCCATTTTATATGATGTACTTTGATTTGGCACAAACTTTAAGAAAAATGGAAAGACTTTTAAAACTTGTGGTCCAAAATGAATGATAGAAATTTGTGTGGTTGTAAATCATTTCATTAAGGGTAAAAAAGACATTTTATAGGCAAATTGTTACTTAAAATAGAAATGTGTCATTCTTTTTGGGACTGAGTAAAAAGGAAAGTAAGTCATATAAATTGGTACAGAGGGAGTATAATACACCCTTACCTGACTTTTACGATTAGTGGAGTGACATATTTAAAATATGTTCAAATTGGAAATAAAAGATAACGTTAGAAGTATTTTTGAGCCGATAGATTGATGAGGACAGAAAAATCACCAGCATTAAAAAGGACATTTTGACTATTTTCTATGAAAGATATGAACTGGAGAGACAATTAATTGTAAAATAAATCGGTACTAAAAGTAAATAACTAAACTAGTGGCCTTGACTTGTTAATCTCTTTCACTCTTGATCCCAAAATTGCTGCTACTGTGTTAGAAAATGGCCAACAAGGTTTCCAATTTCTCGGATCTGATCCAACGTGTCACTGCTTCTTGCTTGCTCCATCCACTTTCCTCCAACGGCCACATCTCCGGTGCTCGTGACGCCGACGAATCTGAAGATGACAAGTACAGTACCGAAGACGACGACGAAGAAGAAGAAGAACACCCACCTTATGTGGAAACTCTGGAAAAATTCCAGAATTTTGAGGTAAAAAATGAGGAGATAAGAACTGAGAAAGTAATTGAAATGGAAATGCTTTTAGGGGAAGTGTTCGATGCAGTGTCGGCAATGAAGAAGGCTTACGTTAGTCTACAGGAGGCGCATTGTCCATGGGATCAGGATAAAATGCGCGTGGCTGACGTGGCTGTGATATCTGAACTGCGAAGGCTTGGAGTGTTGAGGGAAAGATTCCGGCGGAATGTCGGCGGTGGAAGTGAAAGAGGGGACTGGAGAGTCGGGGCGGCGACGCTGAGAGAAGTGGTGGCGCCGTATGAGTCGACCGTGGAAGAACTGAAGCAAGAAGTGAGGGCAAAGGACATTGAGATCGATGATTTGAAGGAGAAGCTAAAAACGGCGACGTTGCTTAGCAGCAATAGTGGAAAGAAAAACAAGTCAAAACGAAGAGTTAACTGCAGCAGTCAAGCTCCAGTTAATATGTCGCCGGCACCTGACCTGTTCGAATCTACAGTGAGCTCAGTTAAAGAAGCCTCAAAGTCCTTCACGAGTTTGCTCCTCTCTTTGATGCGCTCTGCTCACTGGGACATTGCGGCGGCAGTGAGATCCATTGAAGCTGCTTCATCTAACTCCACCACACCAACGGCGGATTCAATTGTCGGAGCCAACCACGCAAAATACGCACTGGAATCTTATGTGAACCGCAAAATGTTCCAAGGATTCGATCACGAGACATTCTACATGGACGGAAGCTTGTCATCACTCCTCCACCCAGACCAGCACCGCCGGGAGTGTTATACACAGTACAGGGACATGAAAGCCATGGACCCAATGGAACTTCTGGGAATTCTCCCAACTTGCAGTTTTGGGAACTTCTGTTTCAAGAAGTATTTGGCCATTGTACACCCCAAAATGGAGGAGTCTCTGTTTGGTGATTTGGAGCAGAGGCGTCAGGTACTGGCTGGGAACCATCCGAGGAGTCAGTTTTACGGGGAGTTTCTTGGACTAGCAAAGACCGTTTGGCTGCTGCATTTGCTGGCGTTTTCTTTGGATCCTCCGCCAAGTCATTTTGAGGCAAGCAATGGATCCGAGTTTCACCCGAAGTACATGGATAGTGTGGTGAAGTATTCCATTTCCATGGGGATAGGAGGGAGAATGGGTATGGGTCTAGTTGTTGGGTTTCCAGTTAGTCCGGGGTTTAAGCTTGGAAATGGATCAGTTGTTAAGGCTAGGGTTTATTTAGTCCCCAAAAATGGGTTTTAAGTTTTTGGGATGGACATAAATTAGTCCATGCACTACTTGCCTCGTCTCTGTATTAGTCCTATTAGTTGGTATCAAAATAAAAACTGATTCATTTGACTTGGGGATCGTTTCTATGCAAACCAATGATTGAAATTATGTCTTTTGTTTGCCAGTAAACTTCAAAAGGTCAGTATAGTTTTTGCTCCGGTAGACTTATAAATGTAATTTTTGCTCGAATTTGTGAAATGAATCTATCACCTATATAATGGGTATCTTTGAACCTTAAGTTCCCTTTACTAATTTTTGCAGTTTTTGGTACAACTTCGTGCATGTTCATCTTTCTTTTCTTGTTACTGATACAGTATGCTAATATTGGACTTTATGATGCTTTGAGTAAGTTGATAAAAGCCCCTTTTTTGGGTTTAGGCCACTGGCCGTAGGATGGAAATTCTGTGTATATATGTATGACATTCATTTTCTTTTCAAGATCAGTCCTGTGAACTTTTCATGGTTATTGTTTTTGACGTTTCATTGAACATATAGGGTTCCATTGCAGCTGGAAGCTTATATTCTTTCTATATAATGTAGACAAACAAAAGGATTTTAAAGAAGACTAACTTTCTGTGTAACTTCTTCCCAGAAGGTTAGTTGGACTTCTTCTTCCTATGCTGTATTTATTTTTGTGAAACATGTTGTCACAATAATTTCTGTTTCTATTAATTTGATTTTTTTTTTTCTGTTCGGACGTTGCATATTCTAGATGCTTCATTTATAGGAATGCGTCTTATGAACATCAAAATAATGTTTCATATATGTAGTGTGGTCATTAAGTTCCCCACATTGGTTTAGAGATTGAGCTTGTTGTCTACTTATATGGTCTTTGGCTATCCTTATCTCACGAGTTAGCTTTCCAGGTTGAGGTCCATTTTCTTAACATAGTATCAGACACAAGACCTTATCCCCATTGTTCTGTTTTCCAATATTGGCGGCTCATGTCATGTTAGATGTCCAGCTCGATCTGTTAACAACGTTGGACCCCTGTGTGTGTTAGATGTCCAGCCATGAGCTTGTGAGGGATTGTTAAGTGTTCCACATTGGTTGAGAGAACAAACTGTTGTATCCCTATATAGTCTTGGGCAATACTTTCTTAAACTCAGTGTCAAGTCAAAACCAGACAAACAAATTGAAAGGGAGGGAGTATTTTCTTTCTGTTCCATCAACATATCTAGTATCATAGGTAGAGTAATATCTCCGGTTTTATCATCCTGGCAGTGCATTTGTTGTGAGACTTGTGTTAGTTTGTTCACTGCAGGTTAAAACTATTTTGGGGATAAAACTTAACCTGACATCAGATTTTGACAAATACTGCAGAAACTCTTTCTATACACTAAAACTCTATGCGTAACATGATAAATTGGACTCTTATTCAGGTATTTGAATTATAGTCCTACTAACACAGTTTATGGCAGTATTCATGCACACTCCATATGTACTACTATATAGATATAGATAGAGAAAAAGACACAAAATTGATGTATACTCAATCACCTGAAGATTGTATATTTCTACATAACTACAAAACTGTGTATATACAATTTAAAGTATATGGAATATCAACTGCCACATTAGCAGGATAAAACATTCAGTAGTGAGCTTCTACATCTAATCAGGCATCTAAATGTTGCTTCCAATCCATCTTCGAAGCTGACAAGATAAGCCTCAAAGTTTTCAAGCTTGGCATCTAAGCTCATGTTTTCTTCTAGGACTAGTGGAACTATTCTTTCTTTGTTTACCAATCTTGAAAGCAGTGACCATTTAGATAGCTTAGGCTTCAAAAGTGGCACACACAAGAAGGACAAGAGCATTTGGAAAGTTGAAAGACATGCTGCATTAGCTTCTTTTATTGCTCTAATCGCAGGTAATGCATCTTGATCTGCATCTAGCAAGACCGATACTGCAGTCACTTGATCCATTTGCTTCAAAGTGGAGATTAATCTTTTGGCATCCGTCTTGATCTTCTTGATGAAAGAGGTAAATCTTTCAACGCTGTCATCTGTAGTTGAATCTCCTTTTCTCCTTCTGAGGGAGGATTGAAGATCTCTTACATTTTCTTTACATTGTGAGACAAGTTCCCTTATTGTGCCACAAAGGTCAAGAAGCCTCACTGATTTATCCAATAAATCGTCAAGCCATTTTGCATGTAGATTCTGGGAGAGGGCTTGAAGGGTTTGAGGTAAGTTGAAAAGATCATCAATGCACTTGTATAATTTCTCCAGACCAAGTAGACCATTGCTCACAGCTGCTGGTGCAACTGATACTTCCAAAGATTTGAGCTTGTTTAGCTCCTCTTCAACTCTCTGGGTGGTTGGGTGTGATCTGCCAGGAAAACTGACTGATCGAATGTGATTAGGTTTTGAAGAAAGAGCAGCCATTTCTTATGATTTTCTCTCTGATGAGGGGAGTTTTAAAACTTGTGTTGGCATTGAAGCTCGAGTGTTGGTATTTATAGGTAGACATCCATAGTAAGAGAGACAAGATTAACAGTGGCCTAATTAAATAAGCATGTGATTGCACGGCTGGATTGCTTTATTTCTTCAGTTGTTTAGTTAGTGTTTGTCATGTAATACGTAGCCAGGTAAGGTTGTCTCCTCCATAAAAGCTTAAATCCATCAACTACTATAACACAATAATTAGATGATTGAGATATAAATAATTACATAGTAATGGGATTATTTTAAGGTGTCAAGACTTTCAAAGGGGCTAGCAAATTAAATATAAAATTCATAATGCACGACTGAAGTTTATTTTATGGAACATGTACATGTATGGAAGTATTCTTTTGGATTTGCTTGGCAAGGGGTTGGAATCATATCTCTATAAGCTTCTCAACTAGATGTAATGTTCCTAATAATTCCGAGAAATTTAGAAAGGCCTAATGTACTTGATTAAAATAATGGGTGGAGTAGCTTATTTATCAACTGTAGAAGAGCACATATGAGCTGTATAATCTAATTGTTTAAAATGTTTTATTATATGGTGGGCAAGGTGAAATAATAAAGGAATACATCATCAGATTGCAGGAGTGGTCTTCTTTCCTATTTTTCATGCTTTAATTTTTTGTACTCTGCGATTTTAGTGAAGAACTAAACAATAAAATTGGAATTATTACCTAAATTAGAAACAAAACTAGAACTTACGGTATGACAAATTTAAAGATAAAAAATCATATAGGCAGATCTAATTAATACATGCCAGTGCAATCATATCCTTTTATTTTCTTTCGCTCCATTTGGAAGATTACAGCTAAGAAGTTCTTCTCAAAGATTTCCAAGATATGGCTATGATTTCTATCCTTTTAATTAGTTCAGCAGTAGGTGGCTTAGCAATTTTTAATTAAATCAATAATGGATACATGAGTATATTGGAAATTCAAATATTTAATTTTGTGCATGCATGTATGGCTGGATTTGCTGTGCTTGTTTAATGTTTATCAAATTATTGACTGAATAATTGTTCTCCTCTACAACTCACCCTCCAGGGCAAAGAGAGGGAAATTTATATTTTTTACAGAACTTTAATGAGTTAAAACCATGAGTTTCACATTCTCTCTAAGATATCTTATTTTTTAAGTATGCAGGGAAAGGAACACATAAGAATGCAGAATGAACTAGATGGAGAGAATATATTCAGGAGACAGCCCCTCGATCTAATCAGGCACCTAAATGGTCCTTCAAATCCATTGTAAAAGCACTCAGGGTGACAGTCGAAGGATTCCAGCCAAGTTTCAAAGTTAATGTTGCTTGCATGACTTTCATATGCTATACTTTTGCGAAATTAAAATGCACACTAAATTGGCTCCCCTTAGTAACTAATCACATATGTAGTGTCCAAATCTGAATCTTGGAATTCTGATTCACCAATCTCTTCATCCATTTATTTTAAGAGTTAAGACCGGGAATAACTTTTGGCCTCCTCTGGTGAAGCTGGCTCTGTACTTGAGTCTCCTTTTTTCCTTCTGACAGAGGATTGAAGATCTCTGACACAGGCACAGACACACTTGTAAGTTGGCTCTGCAAAATCTAGCAGGCCTGTCCATGGCACTATGTACTTAATAGCTAGCCACGGGGCACTGTGAGGCACGACCAACAGGTCAAAGGGAAGGCTGTTAAGCTTCCCATGAACATTATATATGTGAAAACTAACTAGCCAACTCCACATGTGCAATAAAAGTTTCGCAATTAGCATGAGAAGATTTTTAGGAGAGAACTCTGTGATGTAATCAGGCACCGATGTTCCTTCCAAATTACATTTGAAGTTGTCAAGCTGAGCCTCAAAAGAGTGCTAGCCACATTTTAGTTAGTCAAGTTCCCTTTAAATCTTTATTTGGGGAGCATACAGGTCGTCTTCAGGAACTGCTAGTGGACTTTTTGGGAGCAACGCAAGTAAGCTTGCTGAGCAAGGCCACAGTTATCTGTCAGATTAAACTGATATTGAGTCGAGCAAAGTGGCAGTGTTATTTTTTCCATTTAATTGTTCGAAAGAACGTTATGTTGTCTGTTTTACCCCACTGATCTCTGTGCCAGATCTTTTTGCTGGATCTTTATTTTCTTTTCTTTTCTTGAATTTGGCTACGGAGCTAGAAAAAAAAAGGACTTGATTGAATAAGCCTCTTGATTAGATCTAGTGCTTCCAATTATCGCAGAAGACATATGATGAAATTAAGATTGTCATAGTTACAGTGGTCACAATATCTAGTTGGACTATGAACTAAGATTAAGCAGCTCATAAGCTATATTTCTAACTTCTTAGTGATGCATAAAAATATGGTGGATAAGTAGAATAATGAAGAATTTCTTCATCCTCATTCTGACCTTTCATTAGTTTGATTTTTGGAGCCAATTATGTAAAGTAAGTATGTTATGAATGTGCTATGCATTTTATCAGTTTCCCCTCTAGAATTAAGAGGACCATTTCAATGGATATGAGCTACCCAAACTTAACCTGACCTAAGGTACGTAGAGAGACTGCTAAGTGCTTTCTTTGTGGTAAAATTCACAGGCATAACCTTTTAAATTTTGATCTGAGAGAGAGAGAGAGAGGCAATAAGTGGTGTATAATCTTTCACTTGAAGTTTATGTATTTCTAACATTACTACAAAACTGTTCATATACAATTTACAGAGTATGGAATAACAACTTCCAAATTAGCAGGAAAGAACATTGAGGAGCGAGCTTCTAGATCTAATCAAGCACCTAAATACAGCTTCCAGTGCATTTTCAAAGCTATCAAGGTAAGCCTCGAAGGTTTCCAGCCTGGTTTCTAAGCTCGTGTTTTCTTCTTGGACTTCAGGTGCTATTCTTTCTTTGTATACCAATCTTGAAAGCAATGACCATTTTGATTGCTTAGGCTTCAAAAGTGGCACACAGAGGAAGGACAAGAGCATTTGGAAAATTGAAATGCATACTGCATTAGCTTCTCTAAGTGCTCTAATCGCAGCTATTGTATCTTGTTCTGCATCTAGCAAGACTGGTACTGCAGTCTCTTGATCCATTTGTTTCAGAGTCAAGACAGACGTTTTGGCATCCCTCTTGATCTTCTTGCTGAAAGAGGTAAATCTTTCAACGCTGTCATCTGTTGTTGAATCTCCTTTTCTCCTTCTGAGAGATGATTGAAGATCTCTTACTTTTTCTTTATATTGTGAGACAAGTTCCCTTGTAGTGCCACAAACATCAAGAAGCCTCACTGATTTGTCCAATAAATCGTCAACCCATTTAGCATCTAGACTTTGGGATAGGGTTTGAAGGGTGGGCAAGTTGAGAAGATCATCTATGCTCTTGTATAATTTCTCCAATACGAGTAGACCATTGTACACAGTGTCTGCTTTTGGTGCAGCAGGTGCTTCTAATGATTTGAGCTTGTTGAGCTCCTCTTCTACTCTCTGGATAGTAGGGTGTGATCTCCCAGGGAAACTGATTGATCGAACGTGGTTGGGTTTTGAAGAAAGAGCAGCCATTTCTTATGTTTTTTTTTCTGATGAGGGGATATCTCAAACTGGTGATTGAATTGAAGCTTCAGAGTTGGTATTTATAGGCAGACAGCCATAGGAGGAGACAAATTGAGCAGTAACCTAATTAAATCAGCATGTGATTGAATTGCTGGATCTTTTTGGAACTCGTAAACCTGCTACACATTTGGCCAACAAAGGCTCTGCTGATTACTTTTATTAGTCCTCGTAGTTATGGGATGAGCGTGAGGCATCTCATTATCATGTGGGTATTGAATAGATTCCCCTTTTCTGTCTCCAGAAATGGTGCTAATACTATGACACATGTTTTTTTTTATTGGAATTATGTGATTGAAGATGCATTAGCTTCAAGGAGACTGTTTTACTTGTTCAGTTGTTTAGTTAGTTTCTGTCTGTAACAGGTGGCCACCTAAGCTTGCCCCCTCCATAAAAGCTTAAATCTGTCAACTACTAGAACAAAAAATGCTTAGATAACTGAGATATAAATTATTAAAGAATAGTGGGAATATTTTAAGGTGTCAAAGACTTTAAAAGGGGCAAGTAGATCAAATATAAAATTCATATTGCACGAGTGAAGTTTATTTTATGGAATTGTACACGTATGGAAGGTTGTTATTTGAATTTGTTTGACAAGGTGCTAGGAGCATATCTGTACAAGCTTCTTGACAAGGTGTAATACTTCTTATAATTTTGAGGTCAAATTCAGAAAGGACAAAATTTACTTGGTTCTACTAATGGTGGTTTCCACAGACCACAAGTAGTTGATATGAACCAAAGAATAGCAGATTGTGAGCTGTATTATCTAATTGATTAGGATGTGTTAAGATATGGTGGGTAAAGCGAGGAGCAAAGAAATATTTCATATTCATTTGTACACGAGTGCATTTTTGTCCAGATATTACCCTTAATTCAGTTTCTGTCATGGTAGGTGAGTTCTAATATCTGTGAAACATTAAGCTGTCTTCATGCCTTCAATTATATTTTATGAAGCTTCATGCCTTCAGTTTTTTACTCTATGCAACTTTGGAGAAGATTATCTATACAATAAAGTGAAATTGTTCCCTTTTTTTACAGTATGAGAATTTTAGTTTTCACTTGTTCATCCATCAAGGGATTTAGCATGTGGAGAAAGACTAAAGGTTCTCTGAAAACGAAATAATCTCAGATGAAGCTGACAATCAAACACAATGAAAACTATACTTGCAAACCTAATTAATATGACGTGTGTCCTTTGAAGAATTTATCAATTTCTATTTCATTTAGGTCCCAAAATAGGTTAAATTACTCATCAATCTTTGAAGAATTTTTAGGTTCTCATGGCTATATCTTTATAGAAAATGACAACAAAAATTGGAGACTCAGAAGCTTATCCTGTTGTTGGAACAGCCTTAGAAACTTGTGATATGCGAGAGTAGTATCATTCTATTATAAATTTAGATATCTGTTAATTGCACACAGAGGGGAACAAAATCATGAAAAAAGACACAGATTGGATTTTCCATATAATCTTTCACTTGTATATTGTTCTTTTCTATCATAACTACAAATTGTATATACAAAATTTGGTCAACTATACAGTTTAGAAGGAAACTGTATGTAGTAGGGAGCTCCTTGATCTAATCAGGCATCTATATACTCTTTCCAATCCATTCTCAAAACTATCAAGTTGAGACTCAAAAGTTTCCAGCCTGGTTTCCATGTTGATGTTTGGTTCTTGGACTTCACATGATACTCTTCCCTTATACACCAATCTTGAAACCAGTGACCATTTAGATGACTTAGGCTTCAAGAGTGGCACACACATGAAAGACAAGAGCATTTGGAAAATCGGAATGCATGATGCACTGGCTTTTTTCATTGCTCTAATGAAAATGCTATTTCCGGCGCTGCATCTAGGAACACTGATCCTTCAGTCTCCTCATTCATTTGCTTTAAGGACAAGACTAATCTTCTAGCATCCCTCTTCATCTTTTTTCTGGAGGCGGCGAATCTGACTATGTTGGATTCTGTGTTTGAATCTTGCTTTCTCCTTCTGATAGATGATGCTACATCTCTTACGTGTTCCTTACATTGTGACACTAATTCCCTTATTGTGCCACAAACATCAAGAATTCTCATGGATTGTTCCAATAAATCTTCAAACCATTTTCCATGTTGGGAGGGGTGAGTCAAGTTAAGAAGATCATCAACACATTTGTGTAGGTCTTCCAAAACAAGTAGACGACTGCAAATAGTCTCTGCTGTTGATGCAGTAGATACTTCCAGCATCTTGAGCTTGTTGAGAATCTCTTCCACTCTCTGATTGTGTGGTCTAGTGGGTAAACTGATTGACCTAATATGGCAAGAAGTAGTAGCCATGGTTTTTAGTGTTTCTATGTTGTGAGAAAAGCTGAATGTTGTGATGAACAATAAGTTCGTACGAAGAAAGGTCATTTATATAAACAAAGAGGTATAAGAAGAGAAAATGTGGTCATGTGGGTATCCCTTGGAATTTGGTAAATTGCTATGCATTTGGCAAACAAAAGCTCTAATAATTAGTCATCTAAATGAATAAATTATGTGGCTTTGCCTTCATATGGGGTTCAATTGCAGGTTGCCCCTTCCCTAACTACTAAGCATTGTCACATCACTTGGTGGTGCAATCAAGATGCTAACAACGTGGGTCCACTGAGGCTGTCTCGTTTGGAGGAGCTGATGTCCATTAATTACACAAAATACAGATTAGAAGATCTGAAAAAGATATTTTTTGCCAATATTCAAATGGACGTGTACTGTATATTTAATTTATACACGTATGTGTGGTTGTTTGCCATATTTTATTTCGAAATGGAAAACTAGTTGATTACTAAATTGCACCAGGACCAATGAGTAAATTTTTGCCAGAAATTGTTTCGAGTAAAGTGGCATGGGTAATTGATCCATTAATTTGTTCAAAAGAACACTCTATTGGCTGTTTTGTCTGTGATTTCATGCCAAATCCTAGTTTGAATCTTGATTTTGTTTTTGTTTAATTGGCTGCGGAGCTTGATGAAATTTAATGATATAGGATTAGCTTCTTGACTAGATCTACATCTTCTAATGAACTTGAGAAGGAATTCAAACAGATACTGAATCAACACGGTCAAGTTAAGGTGGTCATGTCATAGTTAGTTGGACTTTTAACTAAAGATAAGCAGATCATGAACTATATTATCTAATTTATTTGTGATATGTATCTTACTGATGAGTTCAGGTTCAAGGAGGCTGATCAAGGGACCCAGGTTTTGGTCTTCCTTTATAGCGGGAGGTTTCTTTTATATCAAGAGGGTCTTGGGGAGGCCGGTGGAGTTTATTAACACCCTTGGGCACTGTGCAGAGGAACTGTTAGCAGAACTCCAGAAGCCTGTGTAGCAAGCACTTATTGTGAAGCTTCCTCCACACAGACCTCATTCTTCTGCAATTCATGTTATGAATTAATCTCACTTTTCAGGTCAATTATTCACGTCATCTGACTTTACACGAGAGGCTTCCTTGGTTTGATTAACAAAACCAATTATGTGGCGTAAGTGTGTAACTGACGGGCTATGAGTTTTATCTATTTCAAACCCCCAGTTTTAAGAGAGCCATTTTGACGAATATTTTGGGCTATTGATGAAAGTACACGCATAGAAAGAGATATTAAATTGGTGTATATTCATTCACTTGAGATTTGTGTATTTCTAAGCATAACTACAAAACTGTTTATATACAATTTACAGTGTTTGGAATAACAACTGACAGATTAGGAGGAGGAAATATTGAGGAGCGAGCTTCTAGATCTAATGAGACACCTAAATGTTGCTTCCAATCCATCTTCAAAGCTGTCAAGGTAAGCCTCGAAAGTTTCCAGCCTTGTTTCCAAACTCATGTTTTCTTCGTGGTATTCAGATGCTATTCTTTCTTTTTGCACCAATCTTGAAAGCAAAGACCACTTTGATGGCTTAGGCTTCAAAAGGGGTACACACAAGAAGGATAATAGCATTTGGAAAGTTGAAAGGCATACTGCATTAGCTTCTTTTAGTGCTCTAATCACATCTACTGTATCTTGATCTGCATCTAGCAAGACCAATACTGCAGTCTCTTGATCCATTTGTTTCAAAGTCGAGACAGATCTTTTGGCGTCCCTCTTGATCTTCTTGCAGAAAGAGGTAAATCTTTCAACGCTGTCATCTGTAGTTGAATCTCCTTTTCTCCTTCTAAGAGATGATTGTAAATCTCTTACATTTTCTTTACATTGTGAGACGAGTTCCCTTATTGTGCCACAAAGATCAAGAAGCCTCACTGATTTATCCAATAAATCGTCAAGCCATTTTGCATTTAGACTCTGAGAGAGGGCTTGAAGTATTTGAGGCAAGTTGAGAAGATCATCTATGCACTTGTACAATTTCTCTAAACCGATTAAACCATTGCTCACAGCTGCTGGTGCAGCTGATACTTCCAATGATTTGAGCTTGTTGAGCTCCTCTTCAACTCTCTGGGTGGTAGGGTGTGATCTCCCGGGCAAACTGATTGATCGAACGTGATTGGGTTTTGAAGAAAGAGAATCCATTTCTTATTGTTTGTTTTTTTTTCTCTAATGAGGGGTATCTCAAACTGGTGATGGAATAGAAGAATCAGAGGAGGTATTTATAGTCAGAAGTCAGAACACCGTAAGGAGGAGATAAGATGAGCGATAGCCTAATTAAATCAGCATGTGTTGCACTGCTGGATCTTTTTGGAACTTGTAAACCTGCTAAACATTTGGCCAACAAAAGGTTCTACTGAACGTGAGGCATCTAATATTTAAAAGATTTGATCCTTTTTGTCTCCAGAAATGGTGCCAATACTGTGACACTAACATTTTATTTGATTGAAAATGCAACAACTTCAAGAAGCCTGCTTTATTTGTTTAGTTAAGTTTTTGTCATGTAGTAATAGGTGGCCTGAAGTTTATTTTATTATGGAACTGCGCACGTATGGAGGTTTATTTTATTCCGCTTGGGTGTTTACACCAAACTTTACTAACTAGTAGAGGCGGATTTAGGATTTTGAGATATCGGATGCCATGTTTTTTAAAGTGAAGCCAAATTCATTTATACAAGCAAGTAAGCCTTCAAGAAGAAAAAATGTGGTCATGTGGGTATGCCTTGAAATTTGGTAAATTACTCCGCATTTGACAAACAGAAGTGAAAAGCTCTAATAGTTAGTCATTTAAATGAATAAATTATGTGGCTTTGCCTTCATATGGGGTTCAGTTACAGGTTGCCCCTTCCCTAACTACTAAGCATTGTCGCATCACGATGCTAACAGCGTGGATGTCCATTGATAATACAAAATACAAATTACAAGATCTAAAATGTTGTGGATATTTAATTTATACACGTATTGGCCATTTTGATTTGCTAAAGGAAAACTAATTTATTAATAAATTGCACCACGGCCAAGGAGTAAAATTATTGCCAAAAATTTCTAAGCAACAGGTTATACCCTATTCTTTTTATGGTTGCAAACTGGAGAACCAAAGGCTCGGTGTCCAAACTAATGTAGGCAATATGGAGAATGATGTATTATGCAATATTTAAGGAATTAACAACAGCATACGGCTGGTGTATGTATATACCACAAATTACAGTTGAAAATAAAATGAACATATATGAATAAATAAACATTCAAGATGAGGCGTGGATGTCCCGCTCTCCACTGCAGTATAATCTACACTGATTCAACAGTACAACCCTTGATTTGTCCCCTCCTGGATACAACAACTTGACATCATTGTGTGACCCAAACAACTTCGGATTAGTTGACAAGTCCAAAGTTGCATACCACCCCTGGTTTGTTTGCTTCTCTGTCTTGAGTCAATACTCTACACACTCATTTGATATCCCCACTGCATCCATTATTTGTCTTCCTTTAATGAAAGTCATTTGTTAATTATCCAAGAAAAACAAGTCTCACCACCTGCTTTAAATAGCAAATTAAGTCCAGAAGCTCCTGTATTTGTGCCTAAATGTGTGCTTGCAAGGAAGAATGAGTCAAGTGCCTTAGTGTCAAATACAATTGATTTGGGTGAGGATTCTCTTGATGAAGATG